GCAGTGTTTAACCCTTTCAGGGTCTGTGCCGTAGTTCTACGGCTTTGAGTTGAGGGTCCAAACCTTAGATCTACGCCATGAGCTCAGCTCACTCTGATAAGCTGTGAGCGGTAAATTTGGGCCTAGATTAAGAATAGGTTAGATTAGGTTAAGAATTATCTAAGTTGCCCGAAATGCCTAGCCATGCTAGGTGTTCTAGTGGCCCCCTCTGTAATTATTATTTTACTACATGTAAACCACACAATAACCAAAATCTGTAAACCCTGCATTGTAATCCTTATAGAGAATAAACTTTGATTAGATATGAGAGAATACATCTATGTGGTTATGTTGTGCCACCACATAAAACAAATCCTGCCAGCACACGGTGCATATGATGAAAAAACTAAGACCATAATTTTCGATTAAAACAGCGACTTTGCAGTGTTTTTTCGTATGTTTTTTATAGTTGTATTTCCAATTTCTTGGTCTCATTTGATAGAATGGAAAATATATTACAGAAATAGAGATGATTTTGATTGGTTTTAGCACTGGAAATTACTTTATAACACAAAGCTCTAGTAGCGGGAAATGTGAAATTTTTGCCGATGTTCAAGAGTAAACAAATGACCTCACACGTCTAATATACGTTCACAAATGTGGTGATGTTATTTATACAATTATTACAATATTGCATAACAGTAAATCTTCCATTTTTTTTATTTGAATAAAATTCATATGTGAATATAAAAATAAAAATGGTATTCTCATTGTAAAGCCTGAAAATGTACGTAATGAAACAGAAGGAAATGTTAATTTATGTGACTGGAATGCCTGCATTGTTTATTCTGGACCCTATTTTGAAATTTGAATATTTTGAACTTTGCATTCAATTGGCCAAATTACCAATTTCAAATCACTTTATTTTGTAGTTGAAACAGTTGACTTAGCGATTTCTTGTGCTCAATCAATAGAACAGAGAAGTAATAATAGTAAAAGATTAAGAACATTGGTCGACTGGCATAATGTAATGGCCCTTAAAACGGGAGTCAAAGTCGGCATAAATCGCCGATGCATAAATATCGCTGACACATCAAAATTCGCAAGAGCATAATTTAGTCAATTTTCCATCAAATTTTGTACTTCTTATATTATTACCTTCAGAAAAAGATTCTCTACCATTTTATTATTATTTAAAAAAAATAACTTTTTTTTTTTTTTTTTCAACAAGTCAGCCGCCTCCCACCGAGGCAGGGTGACCCAAAAAAGAAAGAAAATCCCCAAAAAAGAAAATACTTTCATCATCATTCAACACTTTCACCACACTCACACATTATCACTGCTTTTGCAGAGGTGCTCAGAATACAACAGTTTAGAAGCATATATGTATAAAGATACACAACATATCCCTCCAAACTGCCAATATCCCAAACCCCTCCTTTAAAGTGCAAGCATTGTACTTCCCATTTCCAGGACTCAAGTCCGACTATATGAAAATAACGGTTTCCCTGAATCCCTCACTAATATTACCCTGCTCACATCTCCAACAGATCGTTCAGGTCCCAAGTATCATTTGTCTCCATTCACTCCGATCTAACACGATCCATGCACGCTTGCTGGAAGTCCAAGGCCCCTCGTCGCCCCACCAAAACCTCCTTTACCCCCTCTTTCCCAACCCTTTCGAGGATCGACCACCTACCCCTCTTCTTCACCTATTTGATTTATATGCTTTCCAAGTCTTTTTTACTTTGGATCCATTCTCTCTAAAATGACCAAACCACCTCAACAACCCCCTCATTCTGCCCTTCTGACTAATGCTTTTATTAACTCCAAACCTTCTACTATATTTCCACACTCCGAATTTTTTCTGATAATATTTACACCACACATTGCCCTAAGACAGGACATCTCCACTGCCTCCAACCGTCTCACTCGCTGCTCTGCTGCATTTACCACCCAAGCTTCTACATTCCATATATAGTGTTGTGTACTTACTATTCTTTCACCACATTCCATTCTTTGCCTCCATAGATAACTCCGTTTTTTTGATCCACATATACCTCAATCACCCAACTCAAACCTTTTCTCCTCATCAATTCTATGATTAACTCTCCTTCTAAATCCATCGCCGAAACGTCAACTCAAGTATCTGAAGACATTTCACTTCCATACTCCTCCCCAATTTGATATCCAATTTTTCTTTATCTAAATCAGTTGATACCCTCATCACCTTACTCTTTTCTATGTTCACTTTCAACTTTCTACCTTTACACACATCTCAAACTCATCCACTACCTTTTGCAGTTTTTTGTTAGAATCTCCTATAAGCACAGTAATCATACAGCAAAAAGTAAACTGTGGTCAATTCCATTTTGAATTTGTTCCCCATAATTTAATACCACCCCTCTCCCGAAACACCACTACAATTTACTTCTTTTACATACCCCTCTATAATATATTAAACCACATTGTGACATTACACAATCCCTGTATAAGAACTACTTTTTTACGGGAAGTTTTCTTCCCTTCTTTACACACCCTAACCTGGCCTCACTATCCTCATAAAAGCTCTTTACAGCATTTAGTAACTTGCACCTATTACATATACTTGCAAACATCTGCACATTGCTCCTCTATCCACTCTTCATATGCTTTTCTAAATCCCATAAATGCAATAATAATTCCCTACCTTTTTCTAGCATACTGTTAATTTATGCTTCAATGTAAAACACTTGTCTACACATCCCTATCACTCTGAAGCCTCCCTTTTCATCAGCAATTCCTCATCATTCTGTCTTACTCTAATTCTTTCAATTATACCCTACCCTATACTTTTCCTGGTATACTCAGGTAAACTTATTCCTCGATAATTTTTTACCAATCTCTTTTGTCCCCTTTTCCCATTATATAAAGGGATATACATGCTCTACGCCAATCCCTAGCGGTACCTTCCCCTCTCTCATACATTTATTAAACAAAAGTTAGAATGATAACAAATTCTCACTATATGGCAGCACACTTCCACCAATATTCAATACACTAAACCTATTCACCATACAAAACATTTCATACTTATTACATGCACCTTTACATACATAGAACACTTAACTCTGATATTAAACCCTCCCCTCAACATTCTCCTGCCAACCTCAACAGAACACATGACCATAACACCATGGTCACAGATCAGCTTTGATGTTCCTGTGTCATCTCACACTATGCCAAAAACTCAATGCACATAAAAGGCCTAAAATCTGGAACTCCATTACCTGTAAAATATAAAGAAACACTAACTGTTATAATTCAAAGTCTTCTTCTCAAAGATCACTTACTCACCGCCAAGAACCAAATAATACTGAATAACTGAACCTTATAAATTGTTATATCTTAAAATGTTTCTCACAATTTTATCACATAAATTGTTAAAACCCTAAAAACCCAATTCTAAACTTTATTATTTTTTAAATACATACCTAACAGAATAATCCATTCTACTGAAGGTACAACAATGAATACAACCATATGGCCTGTCTTTGTAATTCTCACTTGTGCTTTATGTAATCTGTTTTACATTAAAGTTTTATCACCGATGTCATCATTGCTTAGTTCATCTTAAGTTAATTTTAAGCCAGCCCGTAATGCTATGCATAGTATAAGGGGCTTTTGCTTACTGCTCTTTTCTGTATTTTTTTGTACCTCTGTATGTGTGCACAAATTTTTAAATAAATAAAATAAATAAAAAAATAAAAGTACCAACAACTCCAACCACTATATCACCCCCTTGCTTTTAAAATTTCTGTCATATCCATTCAGTTCAGATGCTTTACCCCTTTCATTCTACGTATATGCTCACGTACCCTCTTACCACACTTACATTCTGCTCTTCTTCCCCCACTCCTAAGAGATTGGTTATACCTCCTGGCCATGCATGAATTTACGCCTCCCTTTCTTCATTCATCATTAAAAGTTCTCAAATATTTCTCGCCATCTAATAATACCTCCCATCTCCCCATTCTTCTAACTTCCCTACTCTGTTTTTAACTGACAAAATCCATACTTTCCCTAGGCTTTCTTAAAACTTGTTTAACTCACCCCAAAATTTTTTCTTTTTTCATTAATATTTCTTGACAGGCCTTCCCACTCTATTCATCTGCTCTCCTTTTGCCAACTCTCTCACCACTCTCTTCACCTTCTTTTACTCTCCAATATACTCTGCTCTTCTTATAACACATTCTGCTTTGTTAAAAACCTCTACATAAGCTACTTTTTCTCTTTTATCACACCCTTTTCTTCATCATTCCACTCCAATCACTCCTCTTTCATCCTTCCCCCACCCTCCTATATCCACAACTTCTGCCCCCACATTCTATAATACTGCATTTTTATAACTATTCCCAACCCTCTTCAACCCCCCCAACTTCTATCTTTGCACTAGCCCTCTTTTGCCAATAGTAGCTTATATCTCGCACCGAACTTTCCTCCTCCCTTAGTTTATACACTTTCACCTCCCTCTTACTTGTTGTTGCCACCTTACTCTTTTCCCCTCTACCTCACTTACTCTCACTGTAGCTACAACCTAAATATGGATCCGATATATCAGGTTGCCTCTATAAACATGTTAAAGAACAAGAACTAGTAAAAAAAAGAAAACCCAGAGGGGTGTGTATATACTATATGCTTGTATGTGTAGTGTGACCTAAGTGTAAGTAGAAGTAGCAAGACGTACCTGAAATCTTGCATGTTCATGAGACAGAAAAAAAAAGACACCAGCAATCCTACCATCATGTAAAACAATTACAGGCACTAAATCAAATATTTGTGTTAAATTATTTAGCATTAAAAGTTACATCAAGCGAGGTGCCGTGATACAAGTAAAGGGCCCTTGGCCTAAGAAATTGGAGCTACACTCTCTTTCCTCACATCATATCTAATTGTGTCTTATTCTCCATTACTTGTATGGGTTTAGCATTTCCCCATGATTTTAATAATAATAATAACATAAGGAATAACTTGTTTTTCAGTCCATCTTTGACCTGGAAGGCATGGATTTTACCCGCAACTATGGCATGCCTGTGTCCTTGGAGGATGGAGATCTGACAGAATTTATGGATTTCACAGATGTTCTCTTTTCCTCACTTATTAGTCAACCACAGCCTTTTGCCTTCCCAAACCCAAGAGAGATCGGTAGGTTCACTTAAAGTTTTAGCAGATGAATGATTTTGATTTATTATTATATTTTTTATTATTATCACACTGGCCGACTCCCACCAAGGCAGGGTGGCCCAAAAAAGAAAAACTTTCACCATCATTCACTCCATCACTGTCTTGCCAGAAGGGTGCTTTACACTACAGTTTTTAAACTGCAACATTAACACCCCTCCTTCAGAGTGCAGGCACTGTATTTCCCATCTCCAGGACTCAAGTCCTCCTAACTTCCAAAGGTGCGGGATTACCAAAACTGTTGTCCAGAGGGCTGAGGAAGGGTTGTTGAGATGGTTCGGACATGTAGAGAGAATGGAGCAAAACAGAATGACTTCAAGAGTGTATCAGTCTGTAGTGGAAGGAAGGCAGGGTAGGGGTCAGCCTAGGAAAGGTTGGAGGGAGGGGGTAAAGGAGGTTTTGTGTGCGAGGGGCTTGGACTTCCAGCAGGCATGCGTGAGTGTGTTTGATAGGAGTGAATGGAGACAAATGGTTTTTAATACTTGATGTGCTGTTGGAGTGTGAGCAAAGTAACATTTATGAAGGGGTTCAGGGAAACCGGCAGGCCGGACTTGAGTCCTGGAGATGGGAAGTACAGTGCCTGCACTCTGAAGGAGGGGTGTTAATGTTGCAGTTTAAAAACTGTAGTGTAAAGCACCCTTCTGGCAAGACAGTGATGGAGTGAATGATGGTGAAAGTTTTTCTTTTTTGGGCCACCCTGCCTTGGTGGGAGTCGGCCAGTGTGATAATAATAAAAAATAACTGGTTAAAGGATATTTCTCCTGAGAAGCATTTTTTTATTTAAAATGGAAATATAAAAATGATTTTTGCCTATCATTTATATGATTTAAAGTGAAAGTTTAAAATTTTATAAGATGATTTTTTGTCTATATCATTTATATTATAGTGCATTTAAATTATGCAGATGCATAATTTAAATGCATATCTTAATTATACTATATCATTGTTCAAGAAGTGTTTATTATATCAGTGGTGAATTGTGCTTTGTCAGTATTGTATACCTTGTCATATTCACCTTGCCATATATGTACTGAGGTGGGAAGTACGGTACCTCTACTCTTAGGGAGGATGGGGATGTTCAGTTTGGTGGCTTTTTGAATTCTTGAAAGACAGCTATTAAATTAGTTTTGGGCGATTTTTTTTGGGGAGGAGGATGGGGGTTTCCTTTTTGATGAGAGAGGTCAATGCAATAAACCAAAAAAAAGGAATACACATAATAGACAGATTCTGAAACAGAGAGGGCTGTTTCCAGTTTTCTTTTCTATTTATAACTATATACAGTCTGCACATATTTTCTGATTTCATTCTAACTATCTTTCCCCTGCTTTATTATTCATTTCTTTTCTTGTAAAAATTTACAGTACAGGATTTGATATTTTTTAAACCATTTTAAATTTTCACCTAAAGTCTGTGAAATCATTTTTTGTTTTAGTAATTATTTATGTATCAATGTGGGAAAAAAATTGATATTATGAAAAACCCATGACAAAGTATTACTTGAATTATTCTAAATTTTTAAAAAATATTTTGCCTTTGATTCGGGAGTAAGTGCAAGTGACCCCTATGTTAAATAGTAAAGGGTTTCGGGGCAGTTTTTTAACCCCTTTTTCAGGGTCTGTCCCGTAGTTCTACGGCTTTGAGTTGAGGGTAAAACCCTTTAGATCTACCCCATGAGCTCAGCTCACTTATAACTGTGAGCGAAAATTTTGGGCCTAGTTTAAAGAATGGGTTAATTAGGTTAAAAATTTAAATCTAAGTTTCCCCGAAATGCCTAGCCTGCAGGTGTTCTAGTGCCCCCCGTAATTTTTTTTTTTATAATGAAACCACAAAAATAACCAAAATCGTAACCCCTGCATTGTAATCCTTATAGAGAAAAAACTTTGATTAAAAATTGAAGAATCATCTAGGGGTAGTGTGCACCCAAAAAAAAATCCTCAGCACAGGGTGCAAATGAAAAAAAAACTAAGCCCATAATTTTCGATTAAAAAGCGACCTTTTTCAGTGTTTTTTTTTGTATTTTTTTATAGTTGTATTTCCAATTTTTGGTTTATTTGATAAATGAAAATAATTACAGAAATAGAGATGATTTTGATTGGTTTTTTTGCACGGAAATTACTTAAAAACCAAACTCAAAGTGCGAAATGTGAAATTTTTGCCGATGTTCAAGAGTAAACAAATACCTCACAGTCAATTAAAATTCACAAATTGGTGATGTTATTTATACAAATTTTTTACAATATTGCAAACGTAAATCTTCCATTTTTTTTATTTTAATAAAAATTATTAGTGAATAAAAAATAAAAAAGGAATTTACTTGTAAAACCTGAAAAAGAAGTAATGAACAGAGGAAATGTTAATTTAGTGCCAGGAATGCCTGCATTGTTTTTTTCTGGACCCTATTTTGAAATTTGAAAATTTTTTAAAATTTGCATTCAATTTGGCCCCAAAAACCAAATTTTAAACACTTTTTTTTATTGAAAAAAGTTGACTTAGCGATTTCTTGTCCAAACAAAAGAAAGAAGTAATAATAGTGAAATAGCTAAAACTTGTCGCTGGCATAATGAATTGGCCCAAAATGGGGGTCAAAGTCGGCAAAATCGCCGATGCATAAATATCGCTGCACATCAAAATCGCAAGAGCAAATTTAGTCAATTTTCCCTCAAAATTTTTTACTTTTAATTATTACCTTCAGAAAAAAATTTTCTACCATTTTTATTATTTAAAAAAAATAACTTTTTTTTTTTTTTTTCAACAAGTCAGCCGCTCCCACCGAGGGAGGGGACCCAAAAAAAAAAAGAAAAACCCAAAAAAGAAAATATTTTTATCACATTCAACATTTCACCCACTCACACATTATCACTGCTTTTGCAGAGGTCTGAATACAACAGTTTTGAAGCAATATGTATAAAAATACACAACTACCCCCCAAATGCCAATATCCCAAAACCCCCCCCTTTAAAAATGCAAGCATTGACTTCCCATTTCCAGGACTCAAGTCCGACTATATAAAATAAACCGGTTTTCCCCGAATCCCTTCACTAAAAATTACCTGCTCACACTCCAACAGATCGTCAGGGCCCCAAATATCATTTGCTCCATTCACTCCTATTAAAACGCCATGCACGCTTGCTGGAAATCCCAAACCCCCGCCACAAAAACCCCCTTTACCCCCCCTTTCCAACCCTTTCGAGGACCCCCCTACCCCCCCTTCCTTCCCCCTTTGATTTATATCTTTCCTGTCTTTTTTTCTTTGATCCATTCCTCTAAATGACCAAACCCCCTCAAAAACCCCTCTTCTCCCCCTGACTAATGCTTTTTTAACTCCACACCTTCTCCCCAATTTCCACACTCCCCAATTTCTGCAAATATTTTCACCCACATTGCCCCTTTGACAGGACATCCCACTGCCTCCAACCCCTCCTGCTGCTGCATTTACCCCCCAAGCTTCACACCAATAAAAGTGTTGGTACTACAAACTTTCACACATTCCCTTCTTTGCCTCCATAGATAACGTTTTTTTGACTCCACATATACTAAAACTCACCACTCACCTTTTCCTCATCAATTCTATGATTAACCTCACCCTTCATAAACCCATCCGCCGACAACTCAACTCCCAAGTATCTGAAGACATTCACTTCCCATACTCCCCCCCAAATTTTGATATCCAATTTTCTTTATCTAAATCATTTGATACCCTCATCACCTTACTCTTTTCTTTTCACTTTCACTTTCTACCTTTACACACATTCTCAAACTCATCCCTAACCTTTGCATTTTTTCCCGTTAGAATTCTCCTATAAGCACAGTATCATCAGCAAAAAGTAACTGTGTCAATTCCCATTTTGAATTTGATTCCCCATAATTAATCCACCCCCCCTCCCGAACACCCTAGCATTTACTTCTTTTACAACCCCATCTATAAATATATTAAACCACCATTGTGACATTACACATCCCTGTCTAAGACCTACTTTTACCGGAAGTAATTTCTCCCTCTCTTCTACACACCCAAACCTGAGCCTCACTATCCTCATAAAAGCTTTTTACAGCATTTAGTAACTTGCCACCTATTCCATATACTTGCAACATCTGCCACATTGCTTCCTCTATCCACTCTATAAATTGCCTTTTCTAAATCCATAAATGCAATAAAAACTTCCTACCTTTATCTAGATACTGTTCACATAAATGCTTCAATGTAAACACTTGATCTACACATCCCCTACTCACTCTGAAGCCTCCCTGCTCATCCGCAACCCCTACATTCTGTTTTAAACCTCTAATTCTTTTCAATTATAACCCTACCATATACTTTTCCTGGTATACTCAGTAAACTTATTCCTCTATAATTTTTACAATCTCTTTTGTCCCCTTTCCCTTATAAAAGGGACTATACATGCTCTCCGCCAATCCCTAGGTACCTTCCCCTCTCTCATACATTTATTAAACAAAATTAGAATGATAACAAATTCTCACTATAGGCAGCACCTCCCCAATATTCATACACTAAACCCATTCACCATACAAACATTCATACTTATTACTGCACCTATTACATACATAGAACCCCTTAACTCGATATTAACCCTCCCCTCAAACATCTCCTTGCCAACCTCAACAGGGAAAACATGACCATAACACAAGGCCCCAAAATCACTCTTTGATGTTCCTCGTGTCCATCTCACACTATGCAAAAACTCAATGCACATAAAAGGCCCTAAAATCTGGAACTCATTACCTGTAAATATAAAAGAAACACTACCTGTTTATAAAATTCAAGTCTCTTCTCAAAGATCACTTACTCACCCAAAAACCCAAAAAAATACTGAATAACTGAACCTTTAAATTGTATATCTTAAATGTTTCTCACAATTATATCACATAAATGTTAAACCTAAAACCCAATCTAACTTTATTATTTTTTAAATACACTACCTAACAGAAAAAATCCATTCTACTGA